CATACCTGCATACCTGCATGCATGCAAATAAAAATGTACATACATACATACATACATACATCACACACACACATATATATATATATATATATGTAAACTGTTTGCGTGCTAATAGTTCCTTATGCGCAAACAACAAGCTTGCGAGTTTTGTGTGAGAACACACAAAACGCCTTGAGCCTAAACCAGCTCAGAGAAACGGATAGTGCGCTTGTTTGCTGTTGCAGCATTCGCGATGCCTGGAATCTTGAATGTCGTATTCCTGTGCCATTTGGCCCAGGAGCCGCTCAATTGCGGCATGTCGTCCTCCCTTTTATTAGATGCGAGCGCAGATCCAATATGAAGGGGGGGCGAAGCAGTGGATCTGGGGCTAGACCGAGCCGCAGCAAGTTTTGCACTTCGCAAGATGCTCTAGAATTTGAGGATTCAGACATTGGGCGTACGACAGATGTCTTCAACAACAATATGGACTCGCGGTCCTCTCCAGCAACGGGTGTTTCTGGCAACCAGTTTGACAGCATGTGTCCAAGCAACCGGCCTGAAACATTTGAACCAGTTGGTCCATGCAGAAAACCCATTAAACCAACTGGGTCGGATGCAGGTGTGCCAGTGCGTGTGTGACAAACCATGGTATTGGCGGCAGCCGTTTTCCTTCAGAGCATATGCAGCCGCCTGAGCATTCGGGGGCCGGTTTAAACAGTTTGATGCTGCAGTGAATGCATCCAGATGCATTGTGTCCAAAGGAACCAAAGTTGCCGTGGGAAATGGCCCCCTGGAATCAGCTTTTCGGGGAGCCGTCGATGCTGCAAGATCCCAGCGATACACTCTTGACTTCGTTGGTTTTTCCTGCACAGCCACTGTTAGGCGCCCGTGTCCCAGAGCCTCCAAGAAAAAAGGCTAGGCCTGACGGACCGTTGCACCTGCGTGCTGTACGGATGCTTAAGGATGTGGATTTTGCTCAGACCGTTGCGGAGGGCTGGACCCGTGCTCTGTCAAAGTGGCAAGCAATCTTTGAGGTCATAGGTTTCCAGGGACCGGTTGGGGCGATGCTGCAAAATGACAGTAGCCATGCCCGCGAGTTGCTCAGGGATGTGTTTGGAACCAAGTCATACAGGTCTTGCGAAAAAAGAGCCGGAGACCTCTTGAGATTTTTCAGATGGTGTCAGGAGTCGCAGTTGTCTTGTTGGCCGCCTGACGCAAAGTTGGTGCTGCAATACATGGCGGCGTCTGAGGAGGCTGGTAAGAGCAAGCTCACGGGAAATGCTCTTCTTCAAGCAACGCGTTTTTGCAGGTATGTCATGCAGATACCTCTTGAGACAGATGTATTGCTACACCCAGTTGTACGTGGTCGCGCAAATAGGCTGCAGGAAGAGAAGGCGCCGCTCAAGCAGACGCGCTGTCTGCAGGTGAAGGAAGTTGAGAAGCTTGAGCTTTTCCTTGCAAGCAGTGCGTGTGCCTACGACCGGTATGTGGTTGGGTGCTTGCTATTTGCATTGTACAGCCGCTCGAGGTGGAGCAATTTGCAATCCATTGAGAGCTTAACAGTTGAGACAGTCCAAACCGGCGCGGGGCTGCATGGATATGTGGAGTGGCAACGCAAAACATCTCACATGTTGCACAAACCAAAGTCAGAGCTTGTGTTTTTGTGCGGGAGGCGCATTACTGCAGGGTATGTGCGACTGGACGGAGCTTCCTTCAAGTGGTCTTGCTGCATAGATGCTTTTCTGGGGAGCTTCTGAGTAAGCCTGGCCAAGTGGCCGATGCGCTTGAGCTTCTGGCTTCCAGCAGAGCCAGAAGCAGCTAGGCAGCAGTGTGCCGCAGCACTGTTGGGCGCCCGCACGCCCGTGCCTAGTGACGTCGGAGGCCAGCGCCCCAGACTTGCAGCGTGAGCCGGAAAAAAGCGTGCGTCAACGGTAATTCTTTAAATGCCGGTTTTTCCTTTTCCGTTTCATGAGCCTGCTTGCCAAGCATTGTTCGACGAGCCCATGATTTGCGTCCCGCTTGCGCACTTACCACTTGGGTGAAGGTGGATGTTGACGGCGTGGATGTTGTGTGCGCCGCCGTTTGCCGCTTCATGCAGGTTCTGTCGCAGTGGGGTGTGCCCAGCCAGATTCACGGTAAGACTTATGACCTTAAGTCGGCTTACCGGCAAATTGGCATTCACCCGGCTGACTTAAAATACGCGTACGTGGCGGTATACGACCCCAACCAGAAAAAACCTGTTGTGTGGCAGCAGCTTTCCATGCCTTTTGGGGCTCGCGCTTCGGTAGTGGCCTTTGTGAGGTGTGCTAGGGCGCTTCAGTGAATTGCGAATCAGGTGCTCCACATTCCGACCACTTCCTTTTTTGACGACTTCCTTCTTTGGGCAGACCGCAACTAAATGCTGGTACTGCGCGCGCTTTTGAGCTCATGCTTGATGTGCTTGGCTGGGCGACTCTAACAGTCCCAAGTGCTCCAAGTTTGGGAGTAATGTCAAGTTGCTGGGTGTGGAGCTGCACTTGGCTGAAACCGTCTTTGGTGAGGTTTTGGTGGCGAACACCCAGAAACGCATTGGCGAGCTAGTGCGTACTTTGGAGCGTGCCGTGGATAGCGGGCACCTGAAAACCACAGACGCTGAGAGCTTGAGAGGGCGCTTGGGGTTTGCCGACTCGCATTTTTTGGCAGGGCTGGGAGGAGGGTTCTGCACCTTCTTGGCAAGCATGCTCTGTATTCACAGAGCAGCAAACTGCCTGAGGAGACAAAGAAAGCCTTGGTCTTGCTAAAGGAAAGGATTGCTACCGCCAAGCCAAAGAGACTGTGTGCCGCCGTGAGTCGGTGTTTCTTCGTATTCACCGATGCTGCGTTTGAAGAAGACGCGGGCTTTGCAGGAGTTGGCGCTGTTCTTGTAGGTCCGCATGGGAAGTAATATCATCCATTGTTGCGTACACTTGCCGTGTTGAGGAGTGCGCTCCCTTTTTCGCATGGTTTGGCAGAGTGCCCACAGCCAACAACCTGGCTGACTCCCCGTCACGCCAGACTCCCCACGAGTTGTTGCCCAGGCATCTGAGTTGTAACCCCCACGTGGTGCAGACAAGCTTGAGCCGAATTTTGGAGCACATCAGACTGGACCCTTTCGTGAATATGTGACATGTCCGGAGAAGGGGGGAGGATCGACATGCCACCGTGGCACGAAGTGGAGCCAGCATCTGCGCCAAGCCGCGCACGTTTGCTTGAGCTTCTGAATCGTGATTTTCCCCACTTTGGTGTCAAAAAAGGGGCGTGCGCCATTTGCTACATATGGATTTGCAGTTTGACATTTTTCCAGGCAATCGTCCTCAAATGGTGTCCTTGGTTTGGCTCAGCAGCTGCTTGGCATGCTGCCCATAAGTAAACTGTTTGCGTGCTAATAGTTCCTTATGTGCAATCAACAAGCTTGCGAGTTTTGTGTGAGCACACAAAACGCCTTGAGCCTAAACCAGCTCAGAGAAACGGATAGTGCGCTTGTTTGCTGTTGCAGCATTCGCGATGCCTGGAATCTTGAATGTCGTATTCTTGTGCCATTTGGCCCAGGGTGGGTGGGTGGGAGCCGCTCAATTGCGGCATGTCGTCCTCCCTTTTATTAGACCCGTCCGCCCATGCCGGGGGAGGATCGACATGAGGATCGACATGCCACCGTGGCACGAAGTGGAGCCAGCATCTGCGCAAGCCGCGCACGTTTGCTTGAGCTTCTGAATCGTGATTTTCCCCTGCTGCCCATAAATATACAGATACACACATACATACATACATACATGCATATATATATATATATTTATATATATACACACATGCATACATGCATACATGCGTACATGCACACGAGCATGCATATACACATATTTACATGCATACATGCATACATTCATACATTCATACATGCATGCATGCATGCATGCATTCTATGTACATACATACACACATAGATACACACATACATACATGCATACATAGATACGTGCATACATGCATACATGCAAACATGCATACATACATACATACGTTCGTACATGCGTACATAGATACATTCATACATTCATACATGCATGCATACATACATATATACATACATACAGACAGACATACATACATACATAACTGCATACATGAATAGATACATACATACATGCATGCATGCAATTATACACATATATATATGTATATACACACGCACACACACACATATAGGTGCACACATGCAAACATGCAGAATTACATACATACATGCAAACAGACATAATTGCATACATACATGAACCATGCATACATGCATACATGCATACATGCATACATGCATACATGCATACATGCACACAACATATATACATATGTACATGCATACATGCATACACATACATGCATAAACTCATACTTGCACACCTACATACATACACACATACATGCATACATACATATACACATACATACGTGCATACATGCATACATACATACGTTCAGACAGAGATACATACACACATTCATACCTGCATACATACATTCATACATACACCCACACATGCATACATGCATACATATACACACTTACACATGCATGCATACATACATACATATCTACACACAGACATGCAAACATGCGTGCATGCACACATACATAGATACAACCATACCTACATATATATATATATATACATGCCTGCGTACATGCATACATACATTCATAAATGCATACATGCATACATGCCAAGATACATACATACATACATACAAAAAATACACACATGCATAGATGCATACAGGCACACATACATACATACGTACAGACATACATATGTACATACATACATACATACATGCATACATGCGTGTGTACGGACACACATATATCTTATAGATACATTCATTGATGCAAACATAGATACACACATTCATGCATACTTACAGTTTTGTGTTCTTAGTTTGGTGTAATATATGTTGCATATTGTACACATACACTGGCACAGCTTGGGACAGCGCAGTGTACGCGGCAGGCGATGGCGAAGGGCAGGTCACGCCTCGCGCTTGCACTTCGGACGGGAAGCCGCCTTTGTGCTGGCCGATTTTTGCCAGGTTCACGCACAGGACGCGAGCCCAGGCCAATTTGACAAAAAGAAGGCATCGTTTTTGACCGAGTTCTGATTTGCAGGTCCACGGCCGCACTCGGCTTCCGTTTCACAGAGGGCGCGCGCAACGCAGGTCCCCGCCTGAGGATTGCGAGTGCGCCGCTGGTAGTGGAACAGGATGCATCCTGTATAGCTGTAGCTGTCCGCTGCAGCCAGTGTATTGTGCACCTTTCCCATTGGCTGGAGGCACGCGGTGGCCGCTCGGGTCGCGTGCCTCACTGAGATAGAGAGTTGGTCGAGCTCGACGGTAGGAACTGAAGCTTGCCAGGCCCATGCCAGCATGTAATGCATAGGTTGTGGACAGCATCACCGGCGCACCCACGCCGTCGCCCGGTGCTCAAGAATAGCTTGGCCTTTGCAAAGCAGACCAAGAGTAGCACCTCTCTTGTGGCGCGATACTTTGGTGAGGTTCTCGCGCGCGACCACGCCAGGAGTCGCCTGGCGGCATGGAGTGCCAGAGCGTTGCTTTGGTTCTCAAGACAGAGATGTTTCGGTTGACGTATGGATGCACAGCTCAGGCTCATCCACTGGATGGGCCTGGCTTGTCACCTTCCGACTTGCCTCATGCGGCAGCCCCAGATGTTTAGCCTACCTTGGAACAAGGAGACGAGCCTCGACGGACATTTTGCAGACTTTTGATCTTGGGGCTTTTCTCCCCTCACCAAAAGAGAGCGAATGTTGCAGTTTGCCGGAATATCAGCGAGGTTGTGCACACTAGCGCACTACGTGTCAGCGCAGGCTCCTTGCAAGCTTGGGCAAGTGGTCACAGTGTGAGCCCGAGCAAAAGTGACAGGTGGCAGAGAGGACAAGGCGAGGGAAGGGTGTGGGTCTTGCAGTCATTGGCGGGATTGGTGGGCTTGTCAGGAACGGTCGCTGCCTCAGGATGCAACTTGCGTCGCTCTGTTGTCGCTGCGGGGTCTCGGCCGGACGCGCTGCCTTGCGGCCTTTCTCGCAATGCGAGGCCTGGCTCTAGCGCGGCACGGTCTGGCCTTGTGCCCAGTGTGCCCAGTGTGCCCAGTGTGCCCAGTGTGCCCAGTGTGCCCGGTGTCAAAAATCGTTGCACATTTGTCTGACGCATCCATTGCCCGCACTCCCCCCTGCAGCATTTCTGGCACAAGGAAGGTGACATGACGCAAATGCAATGTGGATTGATGAGCGATTGGAACCAGCCTTCTTTCAGAATTTCAGTCAGTGTACGTTTTGTTTTCCTCAGAGCCATCAAGCACCTTGCCCGAGCGGAGCGCTGAATGGGCTGAATGGAGGCAGCTCAAGGGTGTTTTTTGTTGGGTTCCATGTCATAGTCAAGTTCCGAGCGCAATATTTTCTCCTTTCAGACCGCTTTGCCTTGCAAAGAGTCGTTGCTCTTTGTAAAGGATAAGACACATGGGCCACCATCAATACACGACAACGACGCCAGTGACTTGAACACGGAGGAAGCAACCATACGGATGTTGAGCAATCTGAGATCCACGGAGATAAAACGAAAAGAAGACAAGCTCTTTTTTTTGGCGTGAGCACGAAGGACTGTCATGAAGGCTTATGTCGGAAAGACGAAAACGGAAGCGTGCCGAAGACATGTTATCCAAATTGCACGACAGCGAAAGCCTGAGAAACCGCCGGGAGGCTAGGGAGGGTCCCATAAGAACGCGTCACGAAGCACGAAATTGCACCAGACCTCGCTTTCTTTGCAGCGCATTTTTCACATTTTCCTCCAAGAAGCAAAGACAAATCAAGTAACACTTTCAGTTTCTAAGCAACAACTTAAAGCTGGAGCCTCTCTAGCAAGTGACGCGGCCACTAAATCTCACACAGTGTAGCAACTTTTGCGCGCTGGAAGAAGCTTGGCTTCAGATTACTTTCCCTTCGCCATTCACCGGCCCCCCGCCCTGCATCGACTCTCTGGACCGCCTGCAAGCCTCCCGAACTGCCAACTCTTTGCTTTGCTGTCTGCACTCCTCCCTCTCCGCCTCACTTTTCGCTCCGCTCCCCACTCTTTTTCTCTTCTTTCCCCCCTTTGCTCAGCTCTTTTCTCTGTTAACAATTCTGCTTGCTCATAATGTGGCAAACGATCGACCGCTGCCAAACAGGGGTTAGGCCAGGACAGAAGACAGTTGGGAAGCGCATGACATACGGCAAACTCGGGAGAAGCCCATAAAGCATCTTTTCGCTTGTTGGGTGACTGCATGACGAGCGGCCAAGTGGAAGGGCCTGTGCTGTCATGTTTTTGTTGCCTTTCGAGGTTCCATCAGGTTCGGATGACAACCAGGAGCTTGTGAAAGTGAGCCGGCAAATCCATTTGTGTTGCTTCTGACTGAGGCAGTGACAAAGTCATTGTGGCGGTCTCTGACCTATGAGTATAGCCCCACTTTTCCAGAAGCAGCTTGATGCCTCACGCAGTGAAACGCCTTTGACATTTCGCAACGCGAACTTCGACGCGTGGCGGCTTTGCATTCATGCGTTCAAACCGTGGTCCGAAAAGCCGCGACGCGCTTCGCGCTCTGATGTGACTCCAGGTGATGCGCCTCAGCGGTGCGGTGCCCCAGTTCAAACGTGGCTCCGGGGGGTAGGGTTTGGTCGACGTGCGAGCTCACAATGCACCACTTCTTGGCATCTGCGATTTGCAGTTGCCAGATCAAGTTGGCAAATAACCAAGTCATCGTGCTCCGCTTGTTGCGCTTTGCACATGCTGAAAAAAACACGTGCACTTGACGCCCAACTTAGGCCAAGCGGCCAGCATCGCGGCGCTCCCCGACCCAACCGCTGCTGGGCAGGCGCATGCGGCATGTGATTGATGCCTGGGCCTTTTTGATTCGGGCATGTGATTGGGGCCAGTCCCGCACCCTGACAGGCACGCAAGTCGAGACCGCTCGGCGCCACAGACTTGCAACTGGATTTTGCACTGGCCACTTAGGACAGAGAGCCGACTCGCATGCATGCCGGAAAGCACTCGGATGTTCTCGCAACACGTCAAAATCAGTTTGCCGTTGTGTGGGTGCCTTGGCTCGAGCGTGTGGCGGCTTAGACCCATTCACTTCGACTGAAGCCATACCGGCCACACAAATAACAACACAACAAGCAGAGAGTGAAATATGGCATGGCTGGTTGCATCTCAGATTCTGACAGGAAGGCAGGGAGACACAAGGTACTCGACGTCCTCTTCGCCAACGATCGTCGCCAGAAAGCGGGGACGATTACGTGGACATCCACAGCATCCCAAGAAATTGAACAAGTTTCCTGGCCATCAAGAGGACGGCGTCTGGTATCTTGAGGCCCTGATCTCAGCCATAACTGAGGCAGGACAAGGCTTTCGAGGCTTCACGCCTCGCAACATCCTGCAAGGTAGCAGATGCCACCCCGAGCTGTCAGTAGCCATGACACTGCAGTACCACTCCGGGCCTTAAATTTGGGGCACCCTTCAATTCAAGCTTCAATTCAGCCGGCAACTATGACAGCCTGCAGGGTCTTGCGCGGACTTGGATGGTTCTCAATGGCAATCACGTGTACAGACCACACTGTGCACCGCTGGGAACGGCAATGAAGCAGCACTGTTGCCGAAGCCCGCCAGAAAGCCGCGTGGTGATTTCCCCTCGTTTGGCCGTGGAATTAGAGGGGCGCAGCCTGCTTGTTCACCAAGTCTTGGTCAGAGGGGGGATTGTAAGTATTTTTTAAGCGCAACTAGAAGGTGTGCTTCGATGTAGCCCGCGAGTGGTTAAAAAAGCAGTGATGACAAAACCTCATCCACTGCTGTCCTCCCAACCTGGGTGCATGACTTGGCAAAAGCCGAGACCGCTGCTCAAGCTCCTGCCATGCGTGATGTTCGTGCTTGCGGTAAAAAAGCATTGGCATTGTGCCGCAGGCTGAGACACAGCCGCAGGAGGTGTGGGGTGCAGTTCCCTGTTTCCAAGTATTCGCGAATGTGGGATTGAGCAAAGGAGCGGCCAGAACGCACTGGGGCAGCCTCTGCGAGGAATGGAGGCCAGGCTCTGCTTTCAGAACCATATTTGTGAACATGGAGTTTTTGCAGGGCGAAGACCGCTTCCTCCAGCCAGCAGCGGCCTCACATTCGATTTCCAGTCAGGTTGCAAAGTCGATCTGGGGGACGGACGCTGAAGGGACCCTGGATTGCTGGCGTTTGCCGTTTGCCCAGGCAGCCCGGACCTGTCTGGGGCTTGGCTGGGGATGTTTGACGGGTGCCGGACAAGACTCACTGAACGCATGAAGGCTTTTGGATTTCAATCATTTGCCACACCGGCAAACATTGGAGTGCCTAGGGAATGCTCATGCTCATAAGGGAATGGCGCAGGGGCACCTGAGAACTCAATCAGACGCGAGAAGGTCTTTGGAATTTTTGGAATCGCTATGTTTGCCGAAACCGGAGTCGGGGGAATGGGCCGAAATTCCATGCGCGGTTTCAGAGTCAGGGCGAAGCCTGCAAGACCGAGCTCCGCACAGGCGGGCTCAATGCCAGTCAGCCCCAGCTGCCTTTGTTAAAGCATGTTGATTGACTTCGATGTGTTCCATAGTGGGATGTTGGCCAAGCGACTGAAGTTGGGTTCAACTTGGGCCGGGTTTGCCTCAGCCATCCAGGCCGCTCCGGATGCACCAGTACCAGGTGTGGGTCTCGGATGGTCTCGGCGAGCCGTTTTTGCAGCCACTTGAGTCGTTGAACAGGCAACGGTCGACTCACCAGCCTGGCCAGGACCTCAGAGAGCTACACCCAACAGGACGTGTGATTGACGCGATGGTAGCGGGAGAGATTGAAAGAGAAAGAGAAAGTCATTGAAAAGAGAAAGTCATTGAAATGTAAAGTCTGTTAAAGTTAAGAAGGGAAGGGGGGAAGGTGAAGTCGGAAGTCCGCTTAGATTCTTGGCTACTCCGTTTCTCCGCTCCAAGGCTGGTGGTCCCCTGGGCCACCCGAGCCACCAGAGCCGCCTGCCCGCGGGCACTGGCGCCGCGGCAGCGGCTGCCATGGCGGTGATCACTGATGGCTGGGAGCTTGCAAGAGCCACGAGCCAACCAGTACATTCTACATATACATGTATTAATACATACATATACACACAATACACATATATATATATGTACATATCCCCCCATGTTAAAGTGGAACTAACTGTGTAAACACCTGATGACCTAAATGTGTCAAACCTGTGATGTGACAGCGCGGCACTTGTTGTATCCTGCGGGCGAGGGCTGTAGCTCTATCAGTAGATAGGCTCAAGGCTTTGATGTACAAAGGCCAGGGTCATGTACAAGGGTGGATGTACATTCACACCCCCTCTTGGATTGATGTAGGTTCTACAACAAGCCAAAAACAGTTTTGTTCTCATGGGCCGAAGTGATGTAAAAGTTGTTAGCAGCTCTGCTGGCTGTTGCTCTTTGTACATCGATGCTTCCAGTGTGTCGAACATCTATACAAACTGTACTCACGTGGCCTGATGTCTGCAGGATGTAGATCCCAAAATCCGGTGTGCCAAAAGTTTGCAAATGTAGACTGGCTGTCTACACGGTCCTCGCGCTTCTTGTCCTCCTCGATGTTCTCCGTGGATGTGTCTGCTTTGTGGAGGCCCTTCCTGTACTCATTGATCTTCTCCTTGTACTCAGGGTAGAGCATGATGTTCCTCGATGTGAGGAAAGCCGCATGGTCGTTGTGTCCTCGCATCTGTTCCATGGGCTTAACAGCTGTGGTTGCGATCTTGTAATCTGAGCCGCATGTGCTCATCTTTGTGATCACTGCCGCAGCATACTGTGAGGACATGTAGCTCAACGCAGAAAGCCCTGTGTAATCAAGAGCTTGTGAAAGTCCAGCGTAAATGGTGTCCTGGCTGTCAGCTGTGAGCAAACTGTCAAGGGACAGGATGGCGTTGTAGGAGTGCATGAAGCCTGCCTCCCAAGTGTACTGGTTGTAGATGTCAAAGAAACACGTACCATGTACCAAACGCCAAGCTGTAAGGCTGTCTCTCTCAGTGGAGCTCAACAACCAGGTGCTGTTGCTGTAGATCTGCGTCTGCTGCAACATGTACCCCCTGTTGAATGTATTGGCTTTAGACCTCGATGTGAGATCAAGAAGCTTTGTCAAGTCACAGTGCCATGCCAGGATGTAGAGATCCGTGGTGTTAGCTGTAGCCAACTTGTCTTCACTGATCAGAAACAACGTTGTCATCACCGCATCGTGCGGGTTGGTTGTAAGGGCTGTAAAATCGAATGATGAGTAACGAAGGTTGCCGGGATGTATTCGATCTTTTCCAACGATGTCGCAGTTGTCTCCCGCAAAAGAAATGTACTCCTCCGCGAAGAGCGATGTAGAGTGCATTGCTGTGTTGGGCCAGCGAGCGGTTGTGCCATGCTGTAATTCCAGGTTCTGTAGCCTTGATGTTGTCCGCCCTGACAAAACCGATGTCTGCCACCGATGTGGTCATCCTGTCGTTGCACCTTTCTTGTACGCGGGAATGTGCGAGCATGGGCAGAGGTGTAATGGGCTGCATGTCCATTGCGATGTATGCAACCTGGTGTACCTCCAGGCCAAACTGATGTAAACAAAATGGCTGCAGAAATGTATCAAAGCATTGTTTGAGACATGTACAGACTGTCATGCAAACGTAGTTTTTAAAAGGTGTTGGGGAAAAGATGTAGTGGTAGTAAAAGCGGGGTCGATCCATGGCCGATGTATCTACCCTAAAGGATTGTGTCTACGCCGGCTGTTATGTAGTAATACAAACATGTGTGAACTGTGCGCCTGTTGTTTAACAGTCTGTGCTGACTACTGTACTCACTGGTGTGAAACTGTTGTGGTGTGGCCTCACAGGCCAACGTTGTACATGTGTCTGTTCAGTGTGTCGCAACCGACAAACTTGGTAGGAAGGTCGGGTGGATTGTCTTCTGACTTTACCTTGTGCGTTGTGATGATTTTGTTCTGGACAAGTTGTTGTATGAAGAGGTGTCGCAGCTCGATGTGCTTTGCTTTCTTTGATGTACCTTCTCTCATTGCTACTGATTTTGCTGCGCTGCTGTCTGTGTGTATCCTGATGTTGGTGCGTACTTCGAATGCTTCCTTGATGAAGTTGCTGATGTAGAGGCTCTCCTGTGCTGCTGTGATGAAAGTGCTATTGTTGCTTGTGTTCTGCTGCCATAGTGTGCTGCTCCAAAGAAGTACAGTGCAAATCCTGTGGTGTTGCGTTGTCTCACATAATGCCCAGTTGGCATCTGTGTATGTGTCAATGTTGAGTGGAGTTCGTTTGTCCTGTGTTTGTATCTTTGGTCGCAGGTTGTGTCGCATGTACCTTGTTCCTTCAAGGCATCTGATCATGCGCTTGACCTTCTTGTTGTCAAGTTGTGTTGGTGCTTGTGGGGATCTTGCTAGCTCTTTTGCTCCATAGCTGATGTCTGGTCGTGTGTGTGCTAGCCATTGTATCTTGCCAACAAGCCGCCTGTATCTCTTGTGTTGTTCTTGGTCTAGTGGTGCCTCATCTTTTGCTGTACCTTGCATGCGTGGTGCTCCTGGTGATGGTGCTGTGTTGCATGTGTTCATTCCTGATTCTTCCAGGATGATGTCAACATAATTGTTGTCCAAGCTGCTGCCAATGTAGTCGCCTTTGTGTGAGATGTTCCTGTTAAGGAAATGTATTGTTTATCCAGCTGATAGGTCGCCTGTGTGTCTCAGCAGGACTGCCTTTTGTATCCTGCTGAAGAGCGTGTTGATGATGCTCCTGTTGTGAATCTCACAAGTTCAAGTGTGACTGCGAGAATGTGTGCTATGTGGTCTTGCCATTGTTTTGGTGATGATCGTAGGCCATAAATGGCTTTGTTCAGCCGCCGCATAATGTGTCTGCTTTCATCATTGTAGAACTCATGTGGTGGTCGCATTACCAGGTTGTAGGAGATTGCCTCGGCATTGGGCATGTAGAAATGCAACACTGACATCTCCTGTGCTGACCGACCAGTTGTACACCAATGCCATTGTGAGGAGTATCCTCAGTATGCAAAACAATGGTGTACTTGCAAACAAGAGGGCGTGGTTTGTAACGGGTTCTGTGTAGCCCTTTTCTACTATGCATGCTCGTACTTCGTTGTGTTTCTGTTTGAGTGTTTTGTGTTTCACGAGCGCGCGCCGCAGCCGTTTCTCTGGTCTAAAAGAAGTGTCCCGCAAGCAGCGGCAAGCAGGCGGGCAGATCATCTGGCCCAAGCGCTGACCCCTTTCTGGAATTTACCAGTCATAGCTGCAGCGCAGCTGGAGCCCGGGCGCCCGACGCAGGATTGATTTTTCTCACAAGCCAATCCAGCCCCCACAAGCCAATCCAATCCCCTTCACAAACCAATCCAAGCCACCGCAATCCATTTGGAGCTCACAAGCCAATCCAACCCGTCTCACAAGCCATTCTGAGCAAAGCCCGGATTTCCTTGTCCAACCAGTTGTTGATTGTACTTGGCTTTTCATCCTGTGTAGCTGTTGTAGCTGTAGTTGCTCTCGTAGTTGCCGTCGCCTTTGCCTCTGTTGTGCCTTCCTTTGCCCTTGTGCTTGCCCCTATGTCCATCGGTGCCGGTCCTTGGTTGTTGCAGCCTGGTGAATGATGCTGTTGCTCTGTAGTACTCGATCACCATGGGTCTGATCTGTGCATATGTTGTGATGTTTCCTGCTTGAAGCTGTACATGTTGCTGAAGTGGTCCTTTTGTCTCGTTTTGTTGAGCGGTATTGCAATCTTGACTGCGTCTGGTAGCAGTGTGTTGTTGTCCTGTTCATACCTGGAGAGTTGAAGCCCCCAGGTTGTGAAGCTCTCTCTTCGAACTTCTGTTCATCCAGTTGGGGTTTTAGCAGCCGCGTAAGATACCGAATGCTCCTTGTACCAAGTGGTATGGAGTACCTTACATGTATCAGCCGCCATTTTTCAAATCCGTTGCCTTGCATGTTTTGTCTGCAGATTGTAGATGCTGGTCCATCGCATGTGCTCACCAAGAGATAGTGTAGATTGTTGCTAAGTTGTACCTGCTGCATTCTCAAGTTGGTCGTTTGTAACTTGTCCTGCTGATTGCTCTGACTGTTTCAGCAGCCTCTGGTATGCTGGGTCCTGCAATCCCAAGCATGTCATCTTGTACTTCCATTTGTTGAAGGTGTTGTATTCTCCTGTGAACCGTGGTGGTGATATCTTGTATCTGTGGATTCCTTCCAGCTGCTGCTGTTCCTGTTGCTGTTGTTGTTGTGCCATGTTGCTCACTACTGTGTACCTGAACCTGTGGGTGTGTGTTGGAGCTCACGCTGGGATGTGGTCGTGGTGTGCCAGGGATCACTGCTCCGCTACAGTGTTAAAGTGGAACTAACTGTGTAAACAACTGATGTCCTAAATGTGTCAAACCTGTGATGTTACAGCGACTTGTTGTATCCTGCGGGCGAGGGCTGTAGCTCTATCAGTAGACAGGCTCAAGGCCTTGATGTACAAAGGCCGGGGTCATGTACAAGGATGGATGTACATTAACACCCGATGGACCCTGGTTTGGTGCGCTTGACCTGTATTTTCCAGTGTTATGCCTTTTTTGCTTCCGGGATGTTGTGTCAAAATTAGGGGGCCATATGCATATATGATATGCGTGCATGCGTACAGATGAAATACAACCAAGGACATCAGCATCTGCAATCTGAAAGAGCTTGAATGCGCCCAAGGGTATAAGAACACCACAAAAAGGAACACAGATTCTGGATTGAAGATTCACGGTTCAAGAATCTGCGAAACTATTTTCTGGGAATCTTGAATCTTGAGCCCCATTTTGTTTTTAAACAGAATTTATGGATTGAAGGTTCAAGATTCAAGAATCTGAGAAATTTTTGCTGGGAATCTTGAATCTTGAATTCCATAAAAACAGAAAAGGAAAAAGAACATTTAAAAAAAGCCCAGGGTTGCCCAATACTCTCGGTGTTCATTAAGGTTCTCGGACAAGTTTTCCGTGAAATGTTTCAATCTTGCCGTTTGGCACTCCTCAATATTGAATCCTCAATCCAGTGGTAAAGCACTTTCAAGTGTTAGAAGAGCTTGAATGTTATTTGGGTTTGGCCAGGATTGACAATTTTCAGGAACGCTTTCTGTGTAATCTTCAGTCTTGAGTGTTCCATCCAGTGGTAACAAATCAAGTGCTTAGCGATCCAGTGGAAACACTTTCAAGTTATTGGTTAGACAGGCTTTCATGTCAGCTATGCTCATGTTGACCCTTTTCCAGAAGGTAAACAAAGATAGGTGTAATGCTCAAAAACACTGTATTTTGCAGTTTTTTAGGAAGTGGCGCAGGGTCATTAGGGGCGCCATATGTGTGAGCATGTGTGTGAATATATAGCTACACATATGTATGTATATATGTTCACACACCGTCACCCCCCCTCTTGAACTACCTGCCACATGTGCTCATCTACTACCTCCACCTTTGATAGAATGAAGTTCGTTTTCTGTGCAAATAGAACTTTAAATGCAACTGATTTAGCTAGAACCCCCGTTTCAAGATAGTTTTAGAATTTGAACCTCTCTTCCCTTGACATTTTCCTGCGGAACACCGTCTACCTGTTGGACTTTCTTTTTGTAAACGCTGCGCGTTGCCCGCCTCGGCCCAGCCGAGTGCACACGTCTGTGGTTCGACTGCAAGCAGCAGAGCTGGTCAAGTGACAAGTGGCAATTCAGGCATGGACAGGTCCAATTGATGTCATGGGCCAGCAGGAATCCGCAAGGCAAGGTCAAGGCAAGCGAGTTATGGAGCCAGCAGACAGGGCGGGCTGGGATGAGCCTTCCTTGGGTGGTTGCTAGTTGGGCTGGGTCTGAAGGCAAGTCTCAGACAGTGGGCTGGGAGCCTCAGACACGTGAGTCTAGCCTCAGACATGCCAGGACCAGACAAGGCTGCTATACGTAGACGTCGTCGTGACGAGAGACGCGTGATGAAATGTGATGAAAGTCTTGGCGGAGAGACGTGGCCAGAGTTGTTACAGGAGACCTGTCAAGGGACGTGACCAAAACGTCAGGCCTGGAAAGCAGGAGGTCATGCTTTTCGGGACCAAAAAGCTATTTTTGGCGCAGTTGCCAAGAAGAATTGGTCCGTGGAGCTGGATGAGCAAAGAGGAAGTTGAAGAGGGAAAAGCGATGATTCCCTTTGGGAAACAAGGTCTGAGCGCCCTTGGCCCCCTTGGGCCGAGGCGAATTCTACAAAAGGGCAAGAGTGTAAACAGCGCAAATTGTATTTTTATTTTCCTTGTTGAAGTCCCTTGAATGTTTAGCATTTTTTATCAGTTATATGTGAGACATAGGCTAAATTTAGTTGTTATTATCAACAGCTAGTTGAGTAATTGTGTTCATATTAGATCATATTTAACACTTAGATTTTGGGAAGCAACTCCTATCTAACTTGTTTTGTTAAACATTAGTTGGAGTTTACCCGAAACTTTATTTACACCTTCAAGTAGCTCCTATTTGGAAAGGATTAGCTTATCTAAGCTGCAATGGAACATAAACACATGTTTGAAAACTATGTCCTTACTAAACTATATTCAATATTCCAATTCTAGTTGAAGTAAAATCCAAATTTTTCAGGCTTTTGGGTATTTCGAGAATATAATTTTTTCGGTTCTACATTAGCCATTCCGAAAAGGCAATAAAACCGGGGTCCATGGGGGGGGGGGTTTGCAAATATATATATAGATTACATAGATAATTGTGCATGCGTTACACGTATAGCTGAGCCTATGTTGAACCAATGTGTTGAACCAATGATTTCCTGATGTTGGAACGGTTTCAAGCGGAGCGCCCAGCACGCCTGAGGACTTGGACCACAGGTGCGCTCCTGTCCATCATGTTACTCCAAAGCGGGCTCTTCCTTCATATTGTCCAAGTCAAGCAACTTGCATGACTTGCAGCAAAGTTGGAAGGAGTCTGTTATGTCGGCTGACGTTTGCTGCTTTTTCTTTATCTAGGCTGCCATGGATCGCTTTTCTCTGCATCAGCATTTTGTCCCTTTCAAAGCTCACAAGGAGCTTTGGCAGTGTGGTAATTTCAGATGAAACTCGATCCCAGCCTCCTGACCGCAGACTTCCAAGCTTCCCAATTGAAAGCACTCGACAGACAAACCCGAGTCTCAAGAGCGCTTCGCAATCGATCGAGTGCCCAACCGACACACTCGAACTCCACGCACTTGCATTCCAATGCCATCCCCGCCGCTGCCCCCAGAGCTGCGAGAGGTGCGGCCGAATCTCGATTTTTCCAGACTGAACTGACTGAAAGCGAGTCTTTCTGAAAATTGGCTTTCGGCTTTCGGCTTTCGGGTTCGCCCGCAGGCACTCCCGAGAGCTCGCTCTCTGAGCCCTCATGGCATTGGCCTCGGCGGACTGCATCAGTCAGTCTGCACTTTGAGGTCAACGTTTGACATTGTTAACATGTTGGCAGAAACTTCCGTGAGGCATTCTTCAAGCACCGCGGAAGGCAATGCCAGTGGTGCGGCCCTGAGATATCACACCAAGACCCATGCTTATGAGAAGCTTCGAGGCAGAGCCGGTGACCTGCTTCAAGAACGGCCCGGCGCCTGGCCGTAGGGTTGGGTGGCTGTGGCCCATCTCACCAAAGGCCTATCACTGCAGCCTTCCGTCTCTGCCACGGCGCTGCCCCCAAGGCCCGGAAGATCTCGAATTGAATGTGAATGTAACAGAAGTGGTTTACGTCCGGAGGATGATGTCGCCTCGGGTGGTTCGTTCACCCTCGCCGCCCATGAAGGCGCAGATGCGCATCTCCGGGCTGTCGTTTCTGGGTCCTTTTTCAGGCGGAGCTGCGTCTCGGGAGCAGCTTGGGCGCCCCTGCGGCGCGCGGTGGGGCGGCCCAGGGCGTCCGGAAAGCTCGCCAGAGTCAGATGCACTCCATGCGCTCAATGCGCTCGATGCGCTCCGTTTTGCGTTCTCGTCGTGTTTCCTTTTCTCAAGGCCAGAGCCCTCCGCTGCGTGGACCGCACGGGCGCCCGAGATTCGAGACGGTTCCCCATTTTGCTTTGGACTTGCACAGGCCCCCTCAGCTCCTCACACGGACGACTTGGAGGCATGGCATGTGTGACCTGCCTTGCCGAGTGGGTGAGTGGAGAGGCTGGACAGCCCTGCCAGCGCGCGGGGCGTGGCAACACCCCAGTGGGCGTGGGGTCAGCTACCCAGAGGATTTTGGGCGATCGAAAGTTCGAATGCTTGACATATTCTGCAGCCCGAATTGGCCTGTCAAGGCAAGACGGTAGCCATGCCTTCGCAAAGGTGCGCCGATGGATTGAGCCGACATTGTTTGCGTGGAGCCGTACTAGTTTGTTTGGTTTCATCTCTTGCAGTCCAGTACCCATTTCAGTTCGAGCAACATCTTTTCAGTCGTGGGCACATGAGGGAGGCAAAGCCAAAAATATCGCAGATTCTGGATGGTTCTGGCACGTGCAGGCCAATGATGGTGCAAACGCCACCCATGCCGCTCTGCAAGGCGCAGCGATCTGTCTAGACGAAGACGACAAGCAACACCTTGAAATATCATTGGAATGCAACCAAAGCACTTGAACTACCGTGCAACTAAGGCAATCGAGTTGTTCTTGACTATGATATGCCCCACTTTTCTTGTCTTCTCGGACTTTGGACATTTTGGGGCCCTCCTGGTGGGATTTGCCGTGAACGTTTGGGAGGCACCGGCCATGGTGCGGCGCAGCGGTTCCGCTGCCGGCACGTTGCAGCAGCTCATCGCGGAGCCCTTGGGGCCGGGTCCCGGTTGCCTGCCTGTTGCCCTTTGCTCTTCCCCCCAGTTGTTTGTCTCTTTTCTTTCCCTTTTTCTCCTTACAGGTGTTCTGAGGGACAGCATGCCTTGCGAGAGGCGACAGAGCCTCCGCGCCCTCCCGGTGCCCCGCCCTGCATCGGAGGCTTGGCTTCCAAGCTGTCGATCCATTAGAATCCATCGGATCCGCGTTCACCGCAGGCGGGCAGTGCCCCAGACGCCAGCAGCCTACGCTCTGCACTTTGGGACGCGTATCCCTCTCTTCCATGCTTTGTCTTTGTGGAAATTCGTTGAGTGCTCCGCAGTGCTGACGTTTGGTTGCCAGCTTGGCCAAACTGTTGGGTTTTGCAGCGATTCTCTAGTGTTTCCGATTCCAGCGTGTGTCCTTCGCATCCGGATTCTTTGTGCCCAGGCCCAGCCTGCTTGCAGCTCGAGACAGGGCCAGCCCCAGGCATTCGTGGGTCACAGCTGTGCTCTGCGATCAGAAGGAAGGAAACAGTAAACTCTGGCAGGTGGGAGATGCGTCCGAACAAGTGGCGGTGTTGGAGCGATTGAAGGCCAGAGCAGAAGCCGCGGATGGGTGTTTGCAGAGCGAAGGGGGCTAGGCGCAATCAGCTTTGGTGGTTCGTCGAACACGCAGGTCCTCTTGGCAGATCCCAGCGTAGTGGCCAAGACGCTGCAGTCGTGCTTTGTCTTGGCCTCAATTCGACCTCAATTCTCGCTCCACTCGCTCCACTCGACTCAAGCTGAGAAGCTGAGGACGCAGCCGGGGGCTCCCAGGGCTCCCAGGGCTCCCAGGGCCGCGTGCCGCTGCCTCAGCGAGCCGAGCTGAGCCCAGCCCATTGCTCCCTCCAAGGCCATGCCACGCGGCAGTGCGAGCCCTCTGCACTGCGCACACGATGCTGTGGGCAGACCCAGACTCACAATGACTCAATATGACTCAAAATGACTCAAAATGTCTCAAACAGAAACGCGTGCCCAAAGAGAGCATCTCTCAAGACTTGAGTGGGACGCAGCGGGCCTGAGGTTAGCGGGCTTACCCTCTACTTGCATCAGCGAGACGAAGTGGCCTGGGTCTCAACCCGCGGGCACTGAAGATTTTGCCCGCTTCCGAAACTGTGAGGCGCAGCTTGCTGAAGCGCGCGGGCATCTACGGGCCTGAGGATGGCTTAGCGTTGACCATTGGGCGAGGCTTCTGATTGATTTTGCCACCTTCAGGACGCTGTCACTCTGGATCAGCTGCGGGAAGTGCAGGTCAGCGACTAGGGAGCAAATTGTAGCTCAGTGCAAGCCGTACATTGCCGCGTTGCCTTTCCGCTGTTCAATTCATGCCGCCCTGTCCTAGACTTATGTGCGAAGGCTCAGACCCTGGGCTCGCTGCGGGACTGCTTCGCGCCAAAGCAGCTCCTAAGGAGCACGAAGTACCGAAGTGCCTTCGGCTTCACCTGGGTGCGCAAGCCGCAAGGAGCATGCGGCGGGTGCCCCGCACCGAGCCGCGGCTCAAGGAGTGCGCACTGTGGCACTTTGCGAGTTCGAGTTGGAATGTGGAACGGCAGACGACCCGAACACCCGGACTCGCACCACCCGTACCACCCGCCCCGTACCACCTGTAGCACCCGTCCCAGCCAGGACCGCTACGAGGGCTTCGAGTTCCGGGCCAAAGGCGCCCTGGGCAAGGCGAGAAGGGCGAGTGGCGATCGAGCAGAGACCATTGGACGATTCGACTAGGATAGAAATGTAGTGTGCAAATCTGCTTTCGGCGTTTTCCCGGCTAGGCTAAAGGAAGGCCATCCAGCAATTCACCGATTCCCCCGTTTCATGGTTTCATTCTTTCTCGTCAGTTTCGAGTTGCCGTGAGGTGTACAGGTGCCGGCACACAGAGTCGCAGACTGTGGCTGAGCTGCGGCAGATCCGCAAGGACAAGGCGAGTTCTGGCTCTCCGGAAGTCAAATGAATGTGAAGAGTCACATTACTTTGACTTTCCGTTTCTTCATTTTCTTTTGTCTTTCTGCCAGGTCTGTGTTCCCATGGACTACATTCGAACCAGCGCGGCTCCCAGAGCTGGCGCAGTTACCGGAAGCAGAAGCGGCCGGCAGGCTTGCACCGCATCAGTGAGCTCCAGCATCCCAACATCCCGAGGGTCGTAGACTGTCTGGAGGTGCGGTGAGGTCTGTTTTGTCAATCGACGGGGAGTCTCTGAGGACTTCAGGAACTTTTTTGTCATCTCGGAGCCCGTGGAGGGGTTGGAGGCGGGCTCAGGGGCTCGCTTCCCAAGGCCGGAAGAACTCGGAACTCGGCACTCGGAACTCGGCAGGTGATGGACTTCATGCAGAGCTCCTTCGTGCGAGGGAGCACTGTCTCTGAGGCGCAGCCTCACGTTCCGAAGTGAACAGGTGCCTGCGCCTCGTGTGACCAGGCGTGCGTGGCGGATTTCATCCGGCAGGCACTTGGCACATCTTGGCACTTGGCACATCTTGGCACTTGGCACATCTTGGCACTTGGGTCTTTCAGTTGCCCGTCAACTCAAGAGGTAGAGGTCAGGGCACGGCTTTTTCTGTCATAGGTCCTAGATGCGGCCAGCTACTGCCACGCGCAAGATCTTGGGCGCGGAGCCTCGGGGCAAAAGTTGATCTGGATCTGACGTGACAAGTGTCCTTAGAGTGTCCTGTGCAGAGTGAGCGGCCTCCAAGGCCGGTGATTCACCGCGACTTGCAGCCTGAATTTGTGCACACCTTGAGCCCAGAGCATCCAACGACGTGCTGTGACCGTGACGAGGTCTTGGTGGAAGACTTGAACCGAGAAGAGGCGGCCAAAGGCTGGACGTAAGCAGACAAAACAGACGCAGGCATGTGAGACGCGAGGCCCGAAGCGGCTGAAGGCTTGGGTGACCTCCTTTGGCTTGCAGGCGTGCCCTGGCATGCCCGAATTTTGGGGTTTCGGGGCGTTGCGCCTTCACTTTCGATTCAGCCCCTCTTCGACTTGCATGGCCTTGGCGCGTCGCTGCCCTCCAGCTGTGTGCCAGGGGCTTGCCACACACAGCGAAGCGATCTCCCTT